AGCCGGGAAAATCCAGATAATCGTTCGACCAGTTGAGAAAATTTGGGCTGAAATGATCTTAAGCTAGCTGTAACTTTTTAAATCCGGCTATTTAGCAAAAATTAGCAAAAAAGAGATTCGAAATCAGCGCCAAATTCTGCACAAAATAGGCCTGGTTTCGACTCAAAACTCCATTTACACTTAAAAACGTCTCCTTGTAAGCGAAAGAAGCGCTCCCGAACTTTTTTGGTCCTTAGGCCAGACGAGAACTTTTAAAAAAGCGAAAATCAAACAGCATTCGCAAATTTGAATTAGGCGATTTTTTAAAAACCTGGACGAGCATCAGCTCCCAAAACTCACCGGGCGTTCCACCTTGTAATTGTCGATTTTCCATCCTTCGGCCAATTTCTGGTCGAATTCCTTTTGGGCTGAAATGGCACAGCCAAAGCGATTTTGAGCGAAGCGTATGTAATAAAATAAATTAGTAAAAGTGAGCTATATTCAACTGGAATTACTTACTTACAGCTATACTTTAAAAGGTCTTCAAATATTTCTATACGTTCGCCAAATAGATCAATTTCTAGTCGAAAATCGGCATTTTCGGAACTTCTACGGAAAATTTGTAATGAAAAACAATAATACGAAGCCATAAACGCCCTCCCCGGTAATGCGAAAGTACCGCACACTCTTAACCCACTCTTAATATTGTCCTTAATGCTGGGCAGGAAGACTGGGGTGATGCCGAGGGTCTCCGGGTCGACGATCAGCACGGCGCCCATGTTGCCCTAGATGGGCAGATAGTTTCGCTAACCGCGATATTGCTGACCTTGCCTTTGAAGTCGGATGACGAGAAGACGGTCACCAGGGGCATGTCAGAGAATCGTTGCAGGCCGTTCGTCATTGGCTAAAAGCGAATGTATAGCCAGAAAGTGGCTGTGTTATTTTAAAAACTGACCAGGGCTGAACAGCCGCTTCGCGACTTTTCAACCCTGGCCCCGTCGATCCCAGGATATTCTTCACTTTGCATAAATTTCTCGATCTTTCGATGACAAAAAATGAGAAACGCCACCTATTTTCCCTTATATAGGCTACCCGCCCACTTATCTCTTCCATAAATATTTCCCAAAAAAAAACGGTTTTTTTTTGATTTTCCAAAAAAATAAACTAATAGAGGATCGAAAAGGGAGAACAGGGGCGGATAAAAAATTTAAAATATGAGTGTAAGCAAACCACCCCAAGTTCAGGCAAGAAACAAAACCTTAGTGAAAACCCCTTTTAAAAAAGGAAATGCACACACATACACACACACAGACACTATTTTTTTATATATAGTAGGATTTTACGACTCCTGAACGTCAGAAATGTCCATTTTTTTTGTTAATAAACCCAAAATTTTCAATTTTTTCACCCGAAATTCTGATTTTTAAGAGTTTGTTTGCTGATTTTTCGGCTAGCTCCAGATAACCCTCCCCCCAGTCGACCGCCACCTACCGTATCTTGGCTCCCTGTGCATCTACAGGTGTGTAAAGTATACCTAAATACTCGCCACAGCAAGGCGAACATTTTGGTATACTTTACACACCTGCAGATGAACAGGGAGTGGAGATACAAAAGTTAACCCTCGTTGGCTAACAAAAAAAAGCTAGTCGAGGATACGGCCGAATAAAGCTCTCAAAAGCCCGAAATGAACCAGCAGGCCGCGGATGATGAATTGAACGCCAAGCCTCTCCATCGCTTCCTTGATAGCCCTTTTGCCCAGGCGATGGCCGCAGTCGCGACGGAAGTTGGCCTCGTAACTAGAAGCGCACGTTTTGGGCAAAATCCAATGCACAAAACAAACCGGTAAGAGCGCAGTTTACCCCCTCCCCCAGCCCCCCCCCCGCCCCCAGCCGGCGCCCAACTTTTGTACCTAGGCTGCCCGTTTGCCTACAGCCTTGTAAAGTACATCAAAATGTTCGCCTTGATCTGACGAGTATTTTGGTTTATTTTACTAGCCGGTCGGATAACGGAGAGCCAAGATACGGTAGGCGGAGCCAGCTCGGCGGGGTTGCGGGGGTGGGTAAACGGCAAGCCAAAAAAACCAAAACTATAATGGTGTGAGGTTTTTAGAATTTAGTTCAAAATCTACAAATGCTGGTGTTTTCACAAAGAACTTGAGCAAAAACAGTTGAGCGCAGAATCGAAGGAAAAATTGTCGCGCAGCGGCCGCTGGCAATTTGCACGAAATCAAAGAGTCCCTTCAAAATGGGTTTTGAATTGACACGCCGGTGTCCCCTGACAGGGACCATCAACGGACCTTCTTCCCGCTTAAATCGATGCTTTTTGTGTAAAACTCGTTGGATCCATTTCCGAGACTCTACGAAAGCCTGATCATCCCCAGACTTACAATTCGACTTCCTCGGATGGCTCGTTCCAGGCAATGCATTTGTTCATCGTCGTATAGCCAGCGTCATGCAACATCCATCCCAAGGTCAGGTCCTTTTTGGTCATCTCGATTGCTGAAATCACGTTTTAGGCGGGCGGGGGACAGACTGTTGGGGCCAACCTACCTATTTTTTGCGTTTCTTTTTGCTACAAACAAAACTCTTAGCATATTTATCGGATGTCCATGTTTGTTTTTACCCTACGTTTCATTTATTTTGTATTTATTTTTTCTCTAGTTAAAGCAAAAACTCTTAGTATATTGTTCGATGCATTATCGAACGGCGTTGCGAAGTTCCGGTTCTTTCCGGAGGAAGGGAAGGCGTTCGGGGGAGGGGGAAACCATTTTTCCTGGCTGTCCCGGTCGACCTATTAATCAAATATAAAGTGTTTTCACATCGTTTTTAGCAAATTTTAACTATATTGAAAGCAAACCTTGAAAAAAGTTAGAAAAATTCCTAAAGAACCAAAAAGTCATGTCTCTTCCGTTCCCCCGCCTGAAACTGTACCCTCCCCACCCCCCGTGTAGCCGACATAACCGAAATTTGAATGCAAAATTTCGTGTTGGAAAAATTCGCTTTTGAGAAAAAAGTTCGTTCGCCAGGTAAGCCCGCTTCCCTTTTCCCATAATGCAAACGAATAAAAAACGGACATGGCATGCCGTGCATACACAGAACACGTCCGTCAATCAGCGCCGCGACCGGCATATTTGAGAAGACCTGCTTGAGGATCAGTTCGATCAGATCCGAATTGTAGTGACGGTTCTTGAGCTCGGCCTTGAATTTGGAGCAAATCGCCGGGTCTTCGTGATTACCCCGAAGGATGAAAACCTGAAACCAAGGGCGGTGAAAACATAGCCTTCGCTTTGGTTAGGGCTAAGGCTTAGGTTTTTGCTTCGCTTCGCTAATGTGAGGCTTATGCAACAGCTAACATGTAGTACAGGGTGTCCCAATAAAATAGGTCACGCCCGCATTTTGGTATTTCAAATCCGATCGATTTGAAATTTTGAGCAAAGGTGCGGAAGCAGATTTAAAATTTTCACAGAAACTTTCAGCTCGATCGGTACAGTAGTTTTCGAGTTATTGCAAAAATACTATTTTTCAACACTTTCGCTGATTTTTCCAGCTAGCTTTTTGGACTTCGTATCAATTCGCATAAAATCTAAAACTTTTATTCTTCTAAACATCGCGGTTGCCAATACCTTGTTAAAATGGCTTAAATAGCTTATTTCCAAGCCAAATTTTGCAAAATAAAATTTCTTAGGATAAAACGGGTCGGCGCTTCATTTCCTCCATACAGTCCAATGCTCAATTCCGGCAAAATCCAGCTTAAAAACGTCAAATAAAGTTTATTTTTGCGGCAACTCCAAAACTACTGGCGGATAGTTTCTGTGAACATTTTAAATACCCTTTCGCACCTCTGTTCCAAAATTCAAGTCAATCGGATTTGAAATGGCAAAATTCCCACGTGAGCTTTTTATTGTGACGCCCTATAGAGGTTGTGAGGTCACAGGTTCGGCTTAAAATGGGTGGAAAATCAAATAAAACACGGGGAGCACGATGCGATAAAAATTATCTGCCAATGGGCACTTTTGTTTAATAAACGTTTGATTTTAAGATTTTGTATCCTACTATATATAAAAAAATAGTGTTGTGTGTGTGTGTGTGTGCCACTTTGCATGCAATTTCCGTCAGGGTGTCCGGAGGATATCTCGATAGGGGATGAATTTTAGGGTATGTATAATACGTCATTAGGTGCGTGATGGTCCTGAGATGACTGCACACATGTTAGATTTTACAAAATCAACGATTTTCGACATTAAATTCAAGTTTTCATTAAAAAATCGGCGACCCACTTTGTTAAGAAAAAATTAGCATGCTCCGGAAGTCCCGGTGGCCTATATAATGGGGTAGAGAGCGCAATTTTCATTTTTTTGTCATCGGAAATCCAAGAATTATGCAAAGTTAAGTATATCGTGAGATCAGACGGGGCCAGGGTTAAAAAGCCGCGAAGCGACTTTTCAACCCTGGTGGAAAACTAAAGTTTATGAAACAAAAGTGCCCATTGGTAGCCATTTTTTATCGCATCGTGTTCCCCGTATTTTATTTTATTTTTCCACCAATTTTGAGCCGTTTTGGAGACTGTGACCTCACAACCTCTACATGTAAGTGCTTAGGATTAGGATTCGCCTCAGGCTTCAGCTTAGGTTTGGGGCAAAGGCTAGCCTTAGGCTTAGGCATCGGTTTGGCTTAGACTAAGGCTTAGGCTTAGGCTTCACATAGGCTTAGACAGGCTCACAAGGGAAGGGCACGTGGACGAAGTGGAGTTTCGCAAAACCCTCGCGGCTACCCCCGGGTAATCGACTATGGAGAACACGATGCCGTTGTCCGATTTTCCTGCGGAGGCCTGTGGACAGAGATACAGCACTTCCGGAAAATGACGATTTGCATGCGAAAAATTAGAATCCGGGGGAAGCTTTATTAGGCTCGCTCGTCAGTATGGAATCTCCGGTCGAATGATCGATTGGTAAGCAACTCGCTTGATAGGATACTGACGAGGGTACGGATCCCCTCACGATTTTTTCGTTTTGCTTTTTGACAGGAACTTTTTGCACAAGTCCAGAATTTCCTTGATTTCGACAAAATTTTTTAGAGTGATGAATATCATAGATTTAGCTATCCACCAAAAACGGATCTCTCGTTTTTTTTTTTTTTTTTTTTTGTTTTTTTTTTCATTTTTTTTTTTTTTTTTCCCGTTTATTTTTATTTTTTTTTTTTTTTTTTTGGGTTTAAATCCGTAAAATATTTCAAATTAGGAAACTTTCACCTAATGGGAGTGATGGATGCCCATTCGCGCGAATATTTTTTTAAAATTTTTAATATTTTTTTGGTGGGATAGCTAAATCCTATGATATTCATCACTCTAAAAATTCTTGTCGAAGTACAAGGAAACCTGGTTCGCAAAAGTTCCTAGTCAAAAAGCAAAACGAAAAAAAGTGAGGGGATCCGTACCCTCGTCAGTATCCTATCAAGCGAGTTGCTTACCAATCGATCATTCGACCGGAGATTCCATACTGACGAGCGAGCCTAATAACGCTTCCCCGGATTCTAATTTTTCGTATGCAAATCGTCATTTTCCGGAAGTGCTGTATCTCTGTCCACAGGCCTCCGCAGGAAAATCGGACAACGGCATCGTGTTCTCCATAGTCGATTACCCGGGGGTAGCCGCGAGGGTTTTGCGAAACTCCACTTCGTCCACGTGCCCTTCCCTTGTCAGACTTAGTTTTAGGAATTGCACGCTTGCCAAACCGTACCCTGCTGCGGAAAAGCGTCCGGAAGCTGAGGATCAAGGCCAAGCATTCAATTTGACGGGGTCCACGATCGATTATGCCACCCAGGAAGAGGATGCTTAAGCATCCAAGCGTTCACAAAATCCTCCAAAAGCTACTTGATTTCGGGCCCTTTTTCGCTCATCCGCGACAGCCAGTAATGGAAGATGCGCCAAAGGTCGTTGAACTGAAAGCGAAATTTTTATGTTCGAAAATTCAGAATGTTTTGCTCGATTTTTGATATTTTTTCGTGCCCAGTTCATCTGAAAAACTTCTACAATTACTATTACAGGGTGTTCCAAAAAAAGCACCCTTCCGGCATTTCGCCGTATTACATTCCAACAGTCTCAAAATTGGACTGGAGGTATACCAGGCCCTAAATAACCACAATCCTGACTTATAGCCAGATCGCACAGTTTTTCTTACTCTTTTTCACTTAACATTCGAACACAATCCGGGAATTTTGAAATCGGCAGAGAACATAAACTAGCCTTGACAACTGCACCCCCCCGCTAATGAACCAGAACCACCGGATGTACCGATGTACGCGATGTACCGGCGTATCGGAATTTGAGGCGGCCCAATGCCGCCGGACGAATTTTTTTGGATTTGCTGTCATGCCGAAAATCATGCTTCCCGAATTCTTCATGTCGAAATTTCACCATGTCAAAATTCCGTATGTCGGAACTTTTTGCATGGGATTCGGGGGTTCCCCATGGAAAAAAAGCCGCGACATTAAAGGGATACCCAACCTTTTCGGGCCTGAAAAAGCGAAACGGCTGTCGCGGCCGGGAGTCGGAGCCGGGCCCCACAACTCATAGGCCCGGACGCTATCCATTACCCCATGGAGCCAGCCATTGGTCCGGGCAGGGGCCACCCTTCACAGGTCAGGGAGGGGCGAGTCGGGAAAATATAAAGTTGTGGATTTGGACCCAAAACCTTGGGTATCCCTTTAAAAAATTTGGACAATCTGAAATTTCGGCATTATGAATTTTTTGCGCGCTTTAGCGCCCACATTGCCATAGATGTCCCCAACGACGAGTGTTTGTAGATCCGTCTTGATAACTGCTTTAGCTTCGAGCATCTCCACGCCCGAGTCGTCGACAAGGGCCCGCAGGTGATGGGCGTCCGGAGTGTAGATGGGCTGAATGCGGTGTGATATAATTTGGCTTAGAAATAGGAAAAACGGGATTCTATTTTATTAGCGGGGCGGGGGTTAGCTGTGGAAAGGAGTTTAATGTCGGAAGTTTTCCAATATTTCATTTTTTGGCGACTCCATCATCGCGGCCCGGTAGAGCATCCAAAATATGCCAAGAATTTTCATTCTGGTCAAAATACAATAATTTAAGAAAGCTGTCATTGAAGCCGAAATGACCCCTGAAGATGGGGCTGATGAGCTTTTTTTCGGGATTTCGATACTTTTCGACATTCTGTTAACGCTATCGGATGGAACATAAAAAACACAGAGAGCCGCAAAGAACCCAGACCCACAACGAAAAAACCATTTGATACAACCCTAGGACCAAACGTTTCCTAGTGAGAAAGGAGAGGAGAGAGAGAGAGAGAGGAGAGGAGAGAGAGAAAGAGAGAGAGTCAGAGAGAGAGACAAAGAGCGAGACAGAGAGAGCGATAGATAAAGAGCGACGACAGAGAGGAAATAGTGAGAGAGAGACAAAGAGATATACATATTTTGACCGCTATTGTATACCGAAATGATACCCTTCATTGTCTTCCGAGAGATATTGTTCACTGTTCAACTTTTCGAGGATATGCAACGCGCCCCTCGTGCCGCCGGGCTCCATGCCAACATCCCAGGTGTACGGTCGGCGGTCGGGCTCCTTTGGGTGTGCCGATTTCCATGCTCTCTGAAAGGTGGTTTGGCAAGGTCCTCCTGGAAGTCAACAAATTTGAATGACCTGAGCCCCCCAGCCAGCATCCAGCTTTGTATCTAGGCCCCCTGTTGGTCTACAGGTGTGTAAAAGTGGACCAAAATGTTCGCCTTGCACTGGTGAGTATTTTGGTATACTTAACTACGCGGTATCATAACGGGGAGCCGAGATACGGAAAGTCGGCGTCGGCTTGGCGGGGGGGGGGGGCAAACGCACTTAAGCCTAAAATTCGGCACAGAATAGGCTTGGTTCCGTATAACAAATATAATGATCGGCCTTTTAATGGAAATCCACGCACCAGTTTCTCGATGTCGATACGCAGCGCATGGCCCTTGTCCGTCAGTTCATAGGTGCCTGGCCCCGGGTTGCGCACGCGCGGTGCTAATCTAAATAAATGAATGAATGGATGAATGTGTGGTAATGGTAATGCACGGTCGTACGCTGTCCGCGGACAGATGCCCGTCACAAATCTTCGAGAAACTGACCGAGT